AAGTTTTATATTTTAAAAGGTAAACTCACCTGAGGTCCCGTCCATGGGGTCATGGTCTTGGATACTGGGTTGGGAGGGTACTTCAGTCAGGCTGAGAAAAAGATCCTGGCTGTTGGGGGGAACGGAGTGCTGGGTGCTCTCCGCAAGCTCGTGCTCCTCCTCCTCCTCCTCCTCTTCCCCGTCCGCAGAATCCTCAGGTGTAGCTGATGAGATTATCCCCGCCTCGGAATCCACGGTCAGAGGTGGGGTAGTGGTGGCGGCCCCCCCCTAGAACTGCATGCAGCTCGGCGTAGAAGCGGCATGTCCATGGCTCTGACCCGGAGCGACCGTTTGCCTCCTTTGTTTTTTGATAGGCTTGTCTGAGCTCCTTGACTTTCACGCGGCACTGATCTGAGTCCCTATTGTGGCCTCTCTCCATCATGCCCTTGGAGATTTTTTCAAAAGTTTTGGCATTTCATCTTTTAGAACGAAGTTCTGCTAGCACTGAATCCTTTCCCCATATAGCGATCAGATCCAGTACCTCCCGTACGGTCCATGCTGGTGCTCTTTTTTTATTATCAGCTTGCATGGTTACCTGTGCTGATGAGCTCTCTGTGGTCACCTGTGCTCTCCACGCTGGGCAAACAGGAAATAAAATTCAAATGTTCGTGGGGCTTTTCCTGTCTACCTGGCCAGTGCATCCGAGTTCAGATTGCTGTCCAGAGTGGTCACAATGGTGCACTGTGGGATTGCTCCCAGAGGCCAATACCATCGAATTGCGGCCACACTAACCCTAATTCGAAATGACAATGTCGATTTTGGCGCTACTCCGCTCGTCAGGGTGGAGTACAGAAATTGATTTTAAGAGCCCTTTATTTTGAAATAAATGGCTTCGTTGTGTGGACAGGTGCAGGGTTAATTCGATTGAATGCTGCTAAATCCGAATTAAAGTCATAGTGTAGACCAGGCCAAGATTGGGTCCCTAATCCATGAACTATTGGAACTCATTTACAAAACTTTTCTTAAATTTTACATGAATATATTCTCACAGTATAGAATTAGAATTAGAATTTATAATCCCTATTCCACGGTGAGATATCTTTGAACTATAATGTATCTTAATTAAAACTCTCTTTAGATAGGATTTTTCCTCAAAGTATTTTATCAAAAAAATCTGTGTTAATAAAAATCTGATTATTATGTTTTATATTTTTTAAAAAAATTGTTGATTCTTATCCACCCTGACACATACTAGAGCCGATAGACACAGAGGTGACTCTTATGCTAAGATTCTTGTGTAAATTGAAAGAATGTGGGAGAGACCATGTGCTAATGCAAAGAAGACCAAGGCTGGGTTTATGCTATATAGGTAGAATCTGTCTCAGTAATACAAACTACTTGATCAGAGATGTCCAATTCGCATCGACCTGTTTTCCCAGATATTTCTTGGGCTTGTCATTTAGTCAGTGATGAATTTGTTTTTCTGCCTTGTAGGAAGGTAAAAGGAGGTAACATAGATGTACACCCTTCCGAAAAGGCCCTTATTGTTCATTATGAAGTGGAAGCCACCATTCTTGGAGAAATGGGGGACCCCATGTTGGGGGAGCGAAAGGAGTGTCAAAAAATGTAAGTTCATGGCACACTCTTGGGGTTATTTCTTAAAGTTAAAATGTCCTGGAATTCTAGGCTATGAGTTCTTAAAATTAGTGTTCTATTATATTATTTCCTTTGTTACTGAAACTTTTTCAAACTTCAGAACATTTTATTAAATTAGTATTAAGTCTGGGAATAACATATATGCATAGTTGTTTGCAGTGGTGTTGTAGCATATATTCATTGTAATATTAAACTTTATTTCTTATATAGTGTTTTCCATCTCAAGGTACATTGTAAAGGAAAATAATTATCATTCTACCCATCTTACCTATGGGGAAGCTGAGGCATGGAGAAGTGAAGTTACTTTCTCATGGTCACACAGTGGTCAATGGCACAGCTTGGGATAAAACCCAGATCTTCTGAAGCCTACTCTGGTGCTCTATCCATTGGGATACACTGCCTTCCTTATTTGGAGTATGTGTATGTCCGGTTGATGTTAGCAATTTCAATGTTATCTGCATTTTCTTTCTACAGGGTACAGTTGTTGTGCCCTTTGTAGTTAAAGTTGCCTAAGCATTTCTGATGTAAAAGGCCCTTTTCCAGTAACTTCCTCAGACTTTTACCTAGAAGGTGAAACTTTCCAAGTCTGCTTTTTGCTTGAGGGCGAATTTGTTGTTGTTGTTGAAAGATCAAGCATATGTGTCTGAGTGGAGGGGTTCTTTTTTAAGAATAAGGAACCATTTCATTGTATAAGGAAATACTACTATTGCAGATTTTTTGAACACACTAAAAATGTTTGTCTGTTTTGCAATGAATCCATGCTATTCCATCTAGGACTCAACAGAAATCCTTTTATTCCACCTCCTGGTCTGTGCTTACAGATAGATATCTGCTCTTGCTTACTCTCTGTCACTGGTATGATCTGTGATTTTTGAGTCCTTTATGGCAAAGTAGACTTCTCTCTATGGCTGTCATAATGCAGTGTGAGGAAATTCTGCACAATCAATACTGACAGACGATTTTATTTCTGAAAGATATTTTTTCTATGCTATACTTTGGGAGTTTCATATTAATAAAGGAAAGTTACCTTTAGATAACTTTTTTGGAAATAGACCACTGACTCCTTATTTGCTGCTGTGACTTGACTGGATAGGAGGCATTTGCTAATGCAGCCATCTCTAAAGCTGCTGTTTGACCAGCTGGTGAGAAATGATCCTGCCCTGTTAAGTCCATTTGACAGACAGTTGCTTGCTGTTATGAACTCCAGGGTGCCACTGCTTTCTGATCTTGGCTGTTCTAAACTGTAGCATGAGCATCAGATGTCTATAGATCATCTCTGCCTTGACAAACTCATGACTATATAAGTTTAAATTGAAGCGCTGAAGATGCAAAAATCTTATCAACTAGGGATAAAACAATCTGACCTGTGTCTTGCAGCATTCGGCTGAAGAGTCTTAATGCAAACACAGACGTTGCTTCCCTGGCTCGAAAGGTGGTGGAAGAATGCAAGCTCATTCACCCCTCCAAGCTAGCGGAAGTGGAGCAGCTGCTGTACTATCTGCAGAACCGCAGAGATGCCTCTTCCGGGAAAGGTAAGCAATAGAGAGAACGGGGGAATGGGGAGCTGGAATGTAGCAGCTATAGCGATACTCTGTATTTTGGGGTTTCTAATTCAAATGCTACTTTCCCTGATACTCAGAAACCTGAGGAGAGAAGGGGAGTGTGTGTTTTGTGCTGTACATGGAAGAATTGACAGAATCTTGTGGGGGAAAAGTTGTCATTTTGATGATCAAAGTACATTTTGAATTTTGATTAGTCAAACTTAATATTGATACTTCTCTTTCAATTTTTGTGTCTCGGTTAAAGTTTTCTGTTCTAAATGGTGAAATGATTATTTCAGATAGTGTTATAAAGATGATGATGGAATTATTTCCATGAAAATAACAACCTCTTCTCTTTTCTGTTACAACCAGTTAATAGGATAGATGCTTTCTAATGTCTTTATCTGGAAGCTATGGTTCAATGCCTGTTAAATTGCAGAGTCAACAGGTTCTTTATAGTACCAGAAGGCCTCACTTTGTCTGCTAACAGGGCTGTACTATTACACCCTAGCTTTATTTAAGCCTCTGTTTAACATCCGGTTCAGCAGCCTTCAGTCCTGAGGCACTTTGAGATTTAATAATGTTAAAAGAATTCTAGCATTTTCAGCTTTGTCTCTTGGTAAAACACACAGAAGGCAAAAATCCTGGAGAAATTTTTACGCAAGTCCTGGATTCAAAGCAGTTAATTGTTAGAGGCTTGCAGGCATACATCTACCAACCCATGTTCTGGAATAGAAAGTATAAAAGTTTCCAATCCCCAACAATCTCCTGTGTGATTCCAAACTCAGATCTTTCGTTATATAGGCACAATTATAGGTTAGGTTTTCTTAACTCTTTTCTGCTGTGTTCTTTTGTGGCCACATCTTAGTAGAATGCATAGTTCTTAGTGCAAAAGCAAAAAAAACCTGGGCTAGTGCTAATTTATAATTGTTTCTTTCTTGCTGGCTAAAGAAGACCTGAAATTACATTATTTTTAAATGGTACCTTTCTGCCTGTTATATATATTAGAAATGTAGATCTTGTCTACTGGAAAATTCTGTAGGTGGGTGACCTGAGAATTAGTACTTTATGACATCATGGATTCAAAGGAAGCAAAACCTGATTAATTGAGAGCAGAGCTGATTTTTTGTTCAGACGGTTTAAAACTCTCTTGTTTTCCTCTTGGTCTTATTACTAGGCATTTGAGCTAAATGCCTAGTAAACAATAGGAAGAAAAGCTGTTTTTTGGATAAATATCCAACACCCCATCTCTTCAACTAAGGCTTTTTGAAGCCTCCTCCAATAGAGAGTGGCAGCAAAAAAACCAGCCACTTGACATTAGATATGATATGCTATTATTAAGACCCTACCAAATTCACAGCCATGAAAAACTTGTCACAGACCATGAAATCTGGTCTCTTGTGTGCTTTTACCCATACTATACAGATTTCACAGGGGAGACCAGAATTTCTCAAATTGGAGGTCCTGACCCAAAAGGGAGTTGCAGGGGGTTGCAGTATTGCCACCTTTACTTGTGCGTTGCCGTCAGAGCTGGGTGGCCAGAGAGCGGCAACTGTTGGCCAGGTGCCCAGCTCTGAAGGCAGTGCCCCGCCAGCTGCAGCACAGAAGTAAGGGTGGCAATACCATACCATGCCAGCCTTACATCTGCACTGCTGCCTTCAGAGCTGGGCGGCTGGAGAGTGTGGCAATACCATAACATGCCAGCCTTACTTCTGTGCTGCTGCTGGCGGCAGCTCTGTCTTCAGTGGTGCAGAAGTAAGGGTAGCAGTACCACAACTCCCCTCCATAGTAACCTTTGACCCTCTCCCCTCCACTACTCCTTTTTGGGTCAGGATCCTTATAATTACAACACTGTGAAATTTCAGATTTAAATATCTGAAACCAGGAAATTGACCAAAATGAATCATGAATTTGGTAGGGCCCTAGCTATGATTTAAAAAAACAAACAAACAAGTAGCAAACTTTTCTTGAAACAAACAAACCTTCCCCCACCCCCGAAAAAACCCCAAGCCTTTCAGGCCTTTGTCATAAAGAAGTAGAACAGGCCCATGTCCTATGTGTTACCATTTGTCAGTTACCTTTAATGTTTAATTGGATGCTTTTTTTGTGTGTAGAATTTTGGACTTGCCCACAGGGACTCCTGCCATACCATAGCATGAACCAGAACACAGGGTTTAGAAAAGTGCTCTTCCTGCTCCACAGAGATGTTGTTTTTGGACCAATATGTTGCATGCTTGAGAGCTGGTCACTCCATAAAAGGGTGCAACAGCTTTTACATGCAGGCCTTGATGAGAACGAAGCCATAGCCATAGCCTAAAGGCCTTCCCCATAGAAAGTCAGAAACTTTCACTATATCTGTACATCACAAACTTTTCTTGTCAGCAGCAAAAATCCAGGAATGCTTTACTTTGAACTGTTTTGTTAACCATCCTTTACCATCATGCACACTTCACAGGAAATGCTGAATAAAGGCCTACTTTACAAAGTCCTGATTAGATGAGTAGCCTACAGAAAGCAGTTGTTTTCCACCCTTGTGGCGTATATATCAACAGAAAGTATATACATCCCTGTAAGTCTGACCTAAGCTTTCTAGTGGCCCTCTGCACAGAGGAAAATTTTATCCTGAAGATCCAGTCCTACATTATAGTGAGGGTATCCATGATTTTGTAATCATGGGATGATATTCTGTTCCAAGGCACATATACATATATAAAAAATAAATAAATAAAGGGGCTTAACTCTGAATTTTCCAGTTCTTATGCAGTTAAAAATGTTAGACTTCTAAAGATGGATTCATTTAAAAAAAACCCAACTCTTTTTAAAAAACAAAACAAAAAACTTGCAGTACATTATTCTGAGTGTCAAAAAGTCATGGCGAAATTTTCTCCTTGGCTCCTTCTTGCTCTAGCTACAATGCTAAAACAACGCTTGAGCTTTGTTATATACTTAGATTGTAAGCTCTTTGGGGTCGGGATCCTCTTTTTGTTCTATGTTTGGGGCTCCTAGATACTATGATAATACTGAATATGCTATCGTCAATGAATATGCACAACATTAATTATAACCATGTCTTTTATCACTATAGAAAAGAAAGAGAAATCTAATAAACCCAAAGATCCACCACCTTTTGAAGGAATGGAGGTAGGAATCTAAGCTAGAATTTAAAGGAAGCTAAATACGAAGACCTTTACTCTTACAGAACTGTTTTATATTAAAAGGAAAAAATATAGATGCAAATCAGATGAGTAAAATATTGAAGAATTTTTTATTAAAGACTTTGGTTTAAAAATATTAACTAATAAAATAAAAGTCCTCTCCATATGTGGTAAAATTCTTGCACATTTGTCTTTGTGTTATATACTTAGAGGGTAATATGAGTGAGATTCTGGAACATGGGGCTAGACACCACAAAGCTGCTACTTAGTGTCAGTTGTTTTTGTAATGAAATCTCCTTGTGTGTTCTGGGCAGTCAGTAGCAATGGTTCTGTACATGGTGTTTGGTTTTTGTTGTCGTTTACGTCTTAAGACTTAGCTACGCACTCTTTTCTGCTTTGCTGCAAAGTAACATCGTTTTTGCATGTTGAGCGGGTTCCTTTTTCTCTGTGTCAAAGCCCAGCTATGTCTTTGATGCTTTCAGATTGATGAAGTAGCCAATATCAATGACATGGATGAGTACATTGAGTTACTGTATGAGGATATTCCTGATAAGGTGCGTGGCTCTGCCCTTATCTTACAACTCGCCAGGAACCCTGATAATTTGGAAGAATTGCTGCTCAATGGTAACTTACAAATCCTCTCATAAAGTTATGCTGTTTTTTTCCCCCCCATCTCTGTGGAGCTATTTCTCCGCTCAGAGAGACTCTCACATCTTTCATTTGGGATGGGATGGGGTTCTAGTATTAGTTCTAAGTTTCCCTCTAAGTAAAATAGGGCCAGCACACAACATTTACTGTTTATATCTCAACAGTGCTGTAATACCCAAAATGTGCTCGGTGCTGTGTATGTGGGGGGAAGAGGCGAAGAGAGAGAGTTATAGAAGAAGGCATTCCTTGCCCCAAAAAGCTTACCCTCTATAAAGACACGCATTATATAAGCAAGATCCAAAAGGGTTTGTGGTGATGCTAGGATGATGCTCTTTTTCCCTTTCTTTTCCCTTGTCCCCTCTCCAGAAATCCCTTCTCTCCACTGGCGCATCAGCCAAACTGTTTCACCATTGATGCCCCAGTGTGTCCTCTACAACTGGCCCACTCCCATGTCATAAAATGGGATTAGTCTGAGAGACTGATGCAAAAAACATTAGGCAGTCAAATGGCCATGTTAATGAAAGTGTCTGAAGGCTGAGGTCACTCTGGTGGCAGGGGCCTACATGGACTCACCTGCTCCTTGTACTAATTGTCAGACCCTGCTGCCTAAAATAATGCAGTGAAAGGTGTGTTTAATCTGTTTAGCTCAAGCAGGTCATGGAGAAAGAGGCACTACAGCCATTCATCTAAATCTTGTTTGTTTGTTTTAGAAACTGCCCTGGGTGCATTAGCCAGAGTGCTGAGAGAAGACTGGAAACAAAGTGTGGAACTTGCTACTAATATTATTTATATTTTCTTTTGCTTTTCAAGGTAAGTGCAAGAGGAGCTTGCTCTATCAGTTGCCTTGAGTTTTTAGTTATTTTCTGCTCTAGTATAGTTTGGAATTGCATCTTAAAGCACTTTTACTGAGAAATATCACTACATATGGGGAAACTGAGGCATAGAAAGTAAACCCATGGGGACGTGAGCCTCAGCAGAGCCAGGATCACAGAACCCATGGTTTTTGAGTTCTAATCCTGTCCCCTATCCCACTGGACTCTTTGGTGTCTTCCTTATCTCCCACATAACTCCCCCGTCAGTGAAAACAGTATTCAAAAGTCAAGTATTCAATTGAAATGTGAAATGTCCAATTGTTAGTAATGTTACAGCTTCACTACATCTAGACTATTGGTGAAAAAGAAGTTATCACATAGGTGGATTGTTACCTTCCCTCCCCTCCCCCCTTTTTTTTTGTGTGTGTGAGGGTGGCCTGGCTGAACCATTTTATAACATACAATCTATAGCTGGCTGGAAAAATGGAATTTTCGTTCCAAGAGAAATTCTGACTTATCAGATTTTTTTTTGTGCGTGTTCCAAATCCGAACAAAAAAAAATCAAAATTTCCTGTGGATGAAAATTTCAAAAAAATTTGGTTCACCTCCACCAAATCATTTAGTGTAGATAGTATCATTTCGTTTTGACTTATACATTTTGTTTTTTAGACATATTAAAATATGAACTATTAAAAATTAAACGATAAACTGAAATGACAAATTCAAAAAAATGTTTTTTCTGTATCAAAATGAAATGAGTTGAATTGTTCCTATCAAAGGTTTCATCAAAATTGACATGTTCTCACAAAATGCTTCTAGTTTGACAAAACCGCATTTTCCGATAGAAAACTGTTTCACTGAATTTTTTTCGACTAGCTCTAATGAAAACCGGTCAGATTGTGCAATACTAGGAGATCTTACTATCCCAGTTTTGAACACAGATTTTTGGCTTTATTTCTCTCATACACTGCATATCTTTTTTAAACAGTTTTTCCCAGTTTCATGGACTAATCACACACTACAAAATTGGAGCTCTGTGTATGAACATCATAGATCATGAGCTGAAAAGACATGAGCTCTGGCAGGAGGAACTCACCAAGAAGAAGAAAGCTGATATCCTCTCTCTGTGCCTGGGCAACTTTCAGCTTTTCTGATTCCTAGTGGTTGAAATGAACTATATGTGCAGTAACTCATGTCAATACAGAAGATGAGTAAGAGAGCACAAAATCTAGTTGCAGGACTAGAACAGATGAAAACCAAAAGTGAAAAATTTGGGCTGGAGAAGGGATTGTTTTTTGTTCTTAAAAATGATTTTAACGTAAGTGTTTTAGTTTACCAGGAGTATGGCTTATATGGGACATTTTTACTACTAGTAGAATCCTTAACACCATTAATTCCTAAACCTATCCATAGTGTGGACCACGTTTTAATAGAAACATTGTCCCATGGGCATCCTTTTATTATTACACAGACATGTAATCCCGGCTGGTGATCAAATAACATCTGTGATTGATATTTGTCCCCACTCTGTAATTTCCCTGTGTCTTTTGCTCTATTACTATACAATCCTTAACTCCAGTTATTTACTTGATGAAGATCCTGAGAATCAAACCCTGAAAAAGGATTATGAGAAAACCTATAAAAAGTACCAGGGGCTGGTTGTCAAGCAGGAACAGCTGCTGCGAGGTATGAACTCCTAAAACATAAGCAACAGGCAAGGAGATCCTTGTCACAGCATGAAGGGCCAGGACTTGCTGAGAACTTTTAACTAGTGTGGAGGATGTTTACTAACAAGTTAGAAAAATAAAAGTAGTCTTAATCTGCATACTTTGGCAATGTTTTAAACATTATTTAAGTAATTGCCAATCTCAAAGAGAGAACTTTGGTGTGTGTTTGCCAGAACACTGCATACTGCTGGTGACATTGCTCCTGCCACTGAATAGTGCTGGAGTCTTGCAAGGACCAGATCATCAGCTGGTGCAAACTATTATAGCTCCACTGAAATCCATAAAGATGCCTATTTGTACAAGCTGCAGATCTAGTACTTGAATATGTATATAAAGCAAATTGTATTTCTTTTCCTTTTGAGTTATCTCTTCAGAACACGCTAGATGGTTCTTAGCCCAGTTCTACCACTACAAGGAGTATCAGTAGGCCCCTTTGTTGGTATTCTCAGTACAGAAGCCCACCATCAAATGAGCCAGGGAGACTGACAAGCTTCTCACCTGTATGCATAATTCATTTATTAAGGATTGAGGGTTACTGGCAGGGAGCATTGTGAAGGTGTCTGCATTGCTTCTGTACTATGTCTGTTCTGTGCATGGAATAGTTCTTTTTCCAAGACACTCAGTCTAGTGCTTTACACCAGCACTAAGTTCACTTGTAAAAAGTGAAGTAATGATTTTTTAAAATGAGGTCTTTGTAATAATCTTATATTTTCATCATTTTAAAAATGAAGCTCTGCAGTGATCAGGGAAAAACTATGCTTACAGTACTCTAATCAGGCAGTGAGAGTGCTAACGCAGTGTGTGTCCATGTAGCAGCCAGAAAACATGTTGAGGTCTGGCAGGCAGATGCAGATCTGCAAAAGAATTGGGAGAAAGGTAAATGAAGAAAACACTGTCAAATTTTAAAAAATGATGTATTTCCAGAAACTTCTTAGCTTTTATTAGCAACATAATTAAAACTGGAATAACTGCAAAAATGTAGGGCCTGATTCTCCTCTGCTTTGCACCTCGTGTAGTCATTTACACTGTCTAAAGTGATCAGAATGGTAACACTCTACTTCTACTGTGCTTACGTGTAAGAGTCCGCACAAGGTGCAAAGCAGTGGAGAATTAGGCCCCTATTTTTATTTTTAGCATTAATGCTGTTCTTTGTTTTGTTTGATTTTTCTTAGCTTGGACAATAAAAATAGCATAATTGACTAGTATTCAACAGTTTCTAGTTAATTTCACTTCAAATGCATTTCGCATTCTGCTGAAATTTTTGGATTGCAATCACCGCAAGGGAATGTTTTGTTTTTTTAATAGTTTCCCTGGAATTTGTGTGTTAAAAAAAAAAAAAAGTTGCTGATGGTCATAAGTTTTATAAAACTATATTGTCAAAACCTATATAAAATAATAAATGGATTGTAATTCTAACTTTCTTTTCTAAATGGGAATCAAAAGCATTCAACTTTGGCCTTGCTTAAAATCAGTGGGGTACAGTCAGTGCTGAACACTTTTGAAAATCCCATCCTAAACATTTAATGTAGATGTAGATTGACATAGTCCCAGTATCTTTGACCTATTGGTATGATTGGTTTTGATGTTAGTTGCTCTTTATCTGCTGCTGAACCTCGCTGAGGACACACGCACAGAGCTGAAGATGAGGAACAAGAACATTGTCCACATGCTAGTGAAAGCACTGGACCGAGAGAACTTTGAGCTGCTTATTCTGGTGGTGTCTTTCCTGAAGAAACTTAGCATTTTTATGGAGAACAAAAATGACATGGTAGGTCTTGTAGCAATCTACAGAAATGCTATGGTGGTTGTTCATTGGGTCAGAGGGGGTCAGGGATTCCAATGAAAGTGAAATAAACCTCTTGCATCCCATCCCCTTTTAAAATAATTGTAGCCCTGATTTTAGTACTATGAAGGGACTACAGTAAATGTAATGCAAGCCCCAGCAGGGACCGCTATAGAAAACTACATATAGAATCATGTAGGGAGCTAGCCTCACCATAGCAAAATTACATGTAAATATGATGGCGAAGAGAGGAATGGCAAAGATTGGTATAAGCATCCAAAAATCTGGGTATTTATCCAAACATCTGGAGGTTCCCAAAACCAGCCTGTAACCAGACGCTCTTTTTGACATTCATCTCTAGCTCTTGTTGTCTCAGGGAAGGAGATCTGGTTACACTTTAGCAGACTGCTAGACTGGGCTATTGCCTTCCCAAGCCAGCAGGATCTTCCACACTGTAGTAGAATGCAGCCCAGACGTGCTTCATGTTGCTACTGCTGGCTGCTAATGCAGGGACTTTCTCCATAAACCCGGGTGGGTGGGTGGGTGGTAAGAAATTTCATGTCCTTGGGAAAATGGAAGGACTTTTTTTTTATTTGGCTCTGTGAGCCGACAAATTCAACAACTCCCTCATTCACTGAATCCCTTTGTGGCTTTGGCAAGTCACTTTATCAGTTTACATCAGTTCACCAATCTGTTGAATGGGGATAATGATCCTTGCTTACCTACCTACCAACCTCAAAGGGAAATCATGACACTTAACGATTGCTTCTAATGCATTTTGGATCCTGAGTTGAAAAGGTGTATATATATAAATGCAGTAAAAATGAGTTGAGAATTGTAGACAGTTGGATCTTAGTGACTGTCATGCGCTTGTGTATTTACATACAATTAGGAATAAGGATATTTCCTTTATTCGTAAGACCCTGAAGAATGTATTTCTGGGGAATTTATTGTATTTCTTAGGTGATGAAGTCATGTGCTCTTGAGATCAATCTATAATCATGCACTGCCCTGAAGCACCTTACTGGTCTAATAAGGATTAGCTATCCCACCAGCTGATTAGCTGGCATACTTTCCACATTCTGTTTGATTTAGTGTGGAAACAAACAAAACAAAAATTAATGTTTATTTTATTGTGAACTTTTTGGACAGCCTTGAACATTTTTCAAATAGACCATACAGCTTAGCTTGGCTATCTTCACATGCATTTTTTTCATAATACAGATAATACTTTAGAAAAAAATACTTTTCCCATATAGTGAGAAAGCTACTGATGAGGGAGATAGGATTCTGAAAGTTGTAGGTTTTCTCTTTTTAGCTGTCTCTAAATAACCTTTGGGGACAAAATGAGCCAAGTTTAGCTGTTTCAGGTTTTATCCTGTTTTACTTATTTGGGCAAAACTATTAATGGTGTGATCATTTAATCTATCTTGGTGTTTGTATCATGTCTGTCACCTTGGCTTTTGAGTGCCATTATTGCTAATTATGTTTAAAGCAATGAGGCAGAAATTGTTATTGGTCGATTTGGACTCAAAGAGATTTAGTGTAATGAAAATAATTTGGATAATATAGCATATTTATGAAGATCACCAGCGTGGTGCTAACAGTTTTCTTGCTGCTTTGAGTTCATTCTCTGCATGTTTCTGACTGAAAGATGGGCTACAGACACAATCCTAATGCATATGGTAAGAGCGTAAAGGGTTCAAACTAACTTAAATACACTTATGGCCAGTAACGGCAGACAGATGTAGCTTAGAAGATGGTGAGAAAAACTTTCTGAAGACTTGTCAGTCAAAGATCAGATGTCTTTTCTTGGGCTGGTAAGAAAAACATATCAGAAATGATACTGCTGCTCAGTCCTTAGATTATGTCCTGTAATCTTAGTGATACACCTATCAAGATCACTTTAATGCTTCTGTTAAATTAAAATACAGGGCAGCATGACATTATGAGAGTACATACCGAATCCTGCCTAGGAACTCACTCAAACATGCAAGGAAATGGCTCATACTCCTTGGATAGCAGTTTTGTCTCTCTCTCTCAGTTGGGTATCTGTCTGACTTCTAATGGAGATCACTCCAAGGTTATCTGTGTTTGATTAGACCCCTGATCCTGCAAGTCACTCTGCAAGTGGATCCCTGCGCCAATCCCCATTGAGGTCCTTCCCCCCCCTCCCCCTCTCCCATTCATCTGATACTCCAAAGATGGCTGAGTCCATTAGCTCAATCTTCCTTTTAAAAAAAAATTAGCCAGAGAGCAGTCCTAGAAAATTTTTAGCCACAAAGCCAAACTTTTGGAAGGTGAAGCCACTTTGAATCGAGACACTGTGGTAACTTTTAACTATCGGCTTGGCTTTTGCTTTCATTTATAAGTATAATTTAAAAAATAGTTGCTAACAAAAGCGAAGGTTTGGGTAGGTTGTGGGCTTAGTGACTTCTCATGCTTCTCATACAGGTTGAAATGGATATTGTGGAAAAACTGGTGAAAATGGTACCATGTGAGCATGAAGACCTGCTGAATATCACCCTTCGACTTCTACTGAACCTCTCCTTTGACACGGGCCTGAGAAACAAGATGGTCCAAGTTGGGCTGCTTCCCAAACTTACTGCACTTCTAGGTATGTTTTCTTTTGTCTCTGTGCAGCCCTTCCAGCAGCGTTAGCATTGTTGTTATTATTGCGCTTTTGTCAGCCCCTTCCTATGGAAGGACAAGGTATCAACTTCCCTCAAAAAAGCAATTGTTAACCTCTTGATCAAGAAATCATCTCTTGCCGCTGGCAATCCAGTTATTGTCCTGTCTCAAATCTTCTTTTTGGATGAAGATTATCAAGAAGATTATAGCAAGTTACACACACATGTGGGTCCTAATGTCTTTTTGATCCTAGTTAATTTGGTTGTATG